AATCCTCCCCCCCCTCCCTTTCGCCAGGCCCCCTGCGGACCCCGCTCCCGGCTACCCGAGCCCTTCTTGCCCCGCTGCCCGACCTTGCTGCGCCAGCCCCGCCCACGCTGGCCCTCGCGCCCCGCCTCTGACCCCTCCCCTCATGCCAGTCTTCCGCGTTCTTTCCTCAGCTGACCTGGGCCAACTTCCCCTCCCCCACTAGCCCCCGCATCCCCCCCCCTTCACGACCCCGCCCTCTCCAACTTCCTTCGTCTGACCCCTGCCACAGCTGACCTTGATTTCCCTGGGTCCAGACACCTTGACCGCGCCCGCCCGGCCCCACTGACGTGCGCCCCTGACCCTTTCCCCAGGACCCCGCGCTTACAGACCCCCACCCTCTGACCTCTGCTTCGGTGGAGACCCCACCGCGGTGACTCCTCCGCTGGGCTCGGCTGACGGGTCCCCCCCACCCACCCAGGCACAGGTGAGACGCCCACGCTCAGCACCCTGGACTTCTACATGGCGCGGCTGCACGGTGCCATCGAGCGCGACCCCGCGCAGCACGAGAAGCTCATCGTCCGCATCAAGGAGATCCTGGCCCAGGTCGCCAGGTGTGTGCCCCAGCCGGTCTGCCCTCAGGCCCGTTCAGCCCAGCTGGGGCTGCCTCAGGCTAGACCTTCGCTGGCGGGACCCGGCGAAATAGACTAGCTTTAGGCCTCCAGCGGGGTTTCTGGAGTCTGTGGGCGCTGCCCAGTGGGATCGGGCTGCCGGCTGTTTTTCGGAGGGCACAGCCCATGCGGGATCTATTAGGTGGGGCTGGTGTGATGCAGGTGGCTAATGGCCTAGCCCCTGGGGGCGCTGATTCGGCCTGGTACTCTATTACAACTCTGGGGAATCATCCAGCACTCCCTTGGCCCAGGGGACCCGAGCTTCCCCAAAGCTTCGGGGTGGGTCTTTCTGGGTGGCTCCCGGCTGCCCAGGATAGGTGGGTTCAACTCCAGGCCCCCCACCCTGGCATCTGAAGGAGCAGAGGAGGATGGCCTCCAGGGTACCCAGGGAGGGGGTGGGGCTGAGGGATGATGTGGCCCCTCACAGATCTACTCCCTTCTGTCACAGTGAGCATCTATGAGGGTGTCTGCTGCCCCGTGATCCAGAGAAGACCAAGCCCTGGCCACGGCCCCTCCCCCACCCCCACCCCATGGAGGAGGGGTACGGCTCCATCCTTTGGGGCCAGGCCCAATCCTGCACCTTGGGGGCTCCAGCCCCCCTAAAATTAAATTTCTACAGCATCCCTCTAGCTATCAGTCTCCCCAGCACCCCAACCCAGAAAAATCTCCCACCATGCACAGCACACATAGAACCCCAGGGCCCCAGGGCCCAGCGAGGCCTGCTCGACCCACAGGGCACATCACACTACACGGACGTGGGAACAGCACGCGTGGACAGCGTGACCCGGGACAGGAGGAGACCCACAGCCGCTCATACGCCCAGTGTGGGGAGAGTTACACACCCTACACCGGCTCCCCAGGACCAGTCCCTGGACACAGGGCAGAGAAAACCCACACCTGACACACTGGGACTCCTGCCTGGCAGATGTCACCCTAAGTGCCCACACGGCTAGGCACGCCGCAGGGACACACTCTCACACTCCGGGCGGGGCCCTCTACCGTCGCGCTCACATTCCTGCACCCCAGAATGGGGGGGCTGGTACTGACCACCCCACCCTCATCCAGCTGGGGGACCCCCGTGGAGGGGGCCCCTTTGCCACTGCTCAATTGGACTTTTTAAATAAAAATGGAATTTGAATTTCAAGCTTCTGCCTGTGTGTCTTTTTGAGGGAAACAGGCCAGGACCCTCTGTTGGGGTCCTAAGCCTACTCTCCCCAGCCACTGGCAACCAGAAATCCACTTTTTTTTTTTTTGCGGGGCGGGGCCACACCACGTGGCATGTGGGATCTTAGTTCCCTGACCAGGGGTGGAACCCATGCCCCCTGCATTGGAAGCCTGGAGCCTTAACCACTAGACCACTAGGGAAGTCCCACGAATCCACTTTCTGTCTCTGGATCTACCTGTTCTGAACATTTCATATAAATGGAATCACATGCTGCGTGTCCTTTTGTGTCTGGATTCTCTCACTGAGCACAGCGTTCTCAAACTTCATCCACATTGTAGTGTATGTCAGTGCTTCATTCCTTTTTCTGGCTGAATAATATTCCATTGTGTGGATGGACCACGTTTTGTTTATCCAGCATCTGTTGATGGCCATTTGGGTTGTTCCCACCTTTTGGTTGTTGTGAATCGTACTGCTGAGAACATGCATGTACAGATTTTTGTTTGAACACCTGCCCTCACTTCTGGGTAGATCCTGAGAAGCAGGCTTGCTGGGTCAGATGGCAATTCTATGCTTAACTTATTGGGGAACCCTCTCAGAGACTTCAGCCTTTAATGGAATGTTTGGGGCAGCTTAAAAATTCTGGGGAGTAATTTGACAAGCACTGATGTTACTGGTTGAATTTTGTCCCCTCCAAAGAAAACCTTGAAGCCCTAACCCCCAGAACCTCAAAATGTGACCGTATTTGGCAATAGGGTCACTGCAGATATGATTAGTTAAGATGAGGTCATCTTGGAGTGGGGCAGCCTCTAATCCAATATGACTGATGTCCTTATAAGAAGATAAAGATTTGGACACAGACGCAGAGAGGAGACAGCCATGTGACAACGGAGGCAGACACAAGCAAAGCACGCCTCCAAGGAATGCCAAGGATGACCAGCCACCAACAGAAGCCAGGAGGGGCAGGAAGAATGCCACCCAGGGTGTCAGAGGAGCTTGGTCTTGCTGATTTCTAGCCTCCAGAACTGTGAGAGAGTAAATTTCTGTTGTTCATAAGCCAGCCAGTTGGTGGTACTTTGTTACGGTTGTCCCAGGAGACTCGAAAAACGATACTGTCACACACCCACGTCCAAGTGTGTGCTCCCTCATCTCACGCCCTCCGTGGCTCCGTATCCTCATCCCAAATTTGGAGTTTACCATTCCTGGGCAGGTCTTTACCTACTTTTAGCACAAAAGGATGTCTTCCCACAAGAGTACCATTTTGATGGATTTTTTTGGGTTCGTTTTCTAAAGGTTCGAAAGTAGACGACTCTGTGGTTTCTAGTTTAATCACAAAGTTGTGCAACCACCAGCCCAACTTAATTCCAGAACATTTTCATCACCCCCAAAACAAACCCCCCTCCCGTTAGCCATCACTCCGCATCCTCCCCTCCCCCAGCCCCAGGCAACCACGAATCCACTTTCTGTCTCCATGGATTTGCCTGTTCTGGACACTTCATCTAAACGGCATCACACGCTATGTGGCCTTTGTAATCTGGCTTCTTTCAATGAGCATCATGTTTCCAAGGTTCAACTGTGCTATAGTGTGTATCCCATTTTGCACGTTTTTAAACTTTACGTAAATTTTCTTACATCGTCCAAAGCCTTCTGCAACTTGCCTGTTTTCATCAATGCTTGGTTTCTGAGATTCATCCAAGGCTAAAGGCCTCTCTTTGGAGCTGCTATATGGCATTCCACTGCTGTTTATTGAGCCAACCAACGTTCCTGTTGGTGATGCCTAGATGCTGTGTTCCCAGGGGGTTCTGAGAGACGCCTCCTGGTGCCCAGAACTTCCTTCTTTATCTGTAACCCAGTGTGCCCACTGTGTGCCAGGATACAGCAGGGGATAAAACAGACCAGAACTCCCGCCCTCCTGAAACTGACATTCCAGTTGAGGAAACAGAGGAAACACAAGATGAATAAATAAACTATCTGCTATGTCAGGTCATGCTCAGTGCTAGGGAGAAAAAAAGCCAGAAAGAGAGATTGAGAGGTGGTGATAGGAGGTGACAGCTGAGCCAAGAGCTGAAGGAGGTGAGGGAGTGAACTACTTGGAGATCTGGGAGAAGATGTTCCAAGTGTAGGGGGCACAGCCTGTGCAAAGGCCCTGGGGCAGGATAGTGCCTGGTGTGTTGAATGAACAGCGAGGAGGCCCGTGTGTCTGGAGCAGAGTGAGCAAGGGGGAGAGAGGGAGGTGGGGAGGGCAGGGAGGGGACGGGGCAGGTTGTGCAGGGCCTTGTGCGCAGAGGGGAGGACTTGAGTTTTTACCCCGAGGGAGGTGGGAGCCCTGGAGGGCTGTGGGCAGAGGATGGACAGGTTGTGGCTCAGTTTATACCAGGGTAAGCGTCCTCCCCACCTCTTATGGTTGTTGCAAGGATTAAATGAGTGCGCCCGGGCACCCGCGGCTGCCCCATCCTTATTTGTGATCCTTATTTTTCCCGCTCCCCGAAGAGCTCACAGCTGGCCCTGGCAAGGCCGGCACACCTGGGGCCAGCCACCCCGCCCCCCTGCCCGCCGCCCCCCCGCGGTTTATACCTTTTCTGATTTGGCTTCCCAAGTCCGCGGTGTCGCCTTCCCGGGAGGCTCGGGTTCCCGGATCCCCTTACCCCGGCGGCTCGGCTGTCGCTCCTTGGGCCGGGGGAGGGGAGGCTGCAGGAAGCGGCGGATCCGGCGGCTGTGGCCGTGGCCCCGGTGGCCGAGCTCCTCCTGCCATGGAGACCACAGCGGCCCGCGAGGCCCGGGGGGCCGAGGCCCCACGCCTGCCCGCGCCCCCGCCCTCGCCCGCCGAGCCCCCTGCTGCGTCCCCCACCCCGGCCGCGCCCCGAGCCCGCCCGCGCCTCATCTTCCGCACGCAGCTGGCTCACGGCAGCCCCACGGGCAAGATCGAGGGCTTCACCAACGTCCGCGAGCTTTACGCCAAGATCGCCGAGGCCTTCGGGATCGCGCCCACCGAGGTGAGGCCCCCGGACCCCCAGCACCCGAGGCCCACCGGCTGACCGGGGGTAGGGGTGGACCCTGGACGCCGGGACTGGGGCCCCAGAACGCCCATCTTCGGATGGAGGGGACCCGATCTCCGGATCTCAGAGACGCACCTCTCAGATCCTGGGGTGCCCATACCCGGTGGAACCCCTGCACAAAACATGAGCACGTCTTAGGGTTAACGGATGCCTAGTTCGTCCGGGAAAACACTGGGCTGACCCAGCTAGGAGTGGACCCCAGCTCTCAGGGAAGCGCCTATGTTTCCTGGGCGCGGCTGCGGGGCTGTGGTTCCAGGCAGCCCCCTTTCAGGTGAGAAGTCCGAGGCCGCGGGGGGTCAGGGGCTGGGTTGTAGGTGCGCCTCGCAGCCCCGAGGGGGCGCCAGCAGATTTAGAACAGTTTTAAAAGATCGGGGGTGACAGGGCACCGAAGGGTTAAAAGGGGAAGTCTGGGGGGTGGGAGAGGGGGCGTCCTCCTGCCCTAAGTCTCCTTCTCACCCTGCTCCCCATTCTGGGGATCCCAGTCTCCTCGCCTCCCACCCCATTCTGAGAGGATCCCATACTCTGCCGTTACACGTGACTGCGATCCTGGTAGGGGATGGCTGGGGTCAGTTTCGTGCCTCTTTGCGCCTCGGTTTCCCTATCAGGCCCCTGAGCCCAACCGCCGGTTGTTCTGCGCAGACGGTGGGGGATGAGGCCTGTCATTAATTTTGGGCTCCCCCTCCCCTCGGGACAGATCTTATTCTGCACCCTAAACAGCCACAAAGTGGACATGCAGAAACTCCTAGGCGGCCAGATAGGGTTGGAGGACTTTATCTTTGCCCACGTGCGCGGCGAGACCAAAGAGGTGGAGGTCACTAAGACCGAGGACGCCCTGGGACTGACCATCACTGACAACGGGGCTGGCTATGCCTTCATCAAGGTGCCCATGGGGGCGGGTGGCTTCCTGGGTGCCCCTCTCTGCCCCTCTCTGGTGTGAACAGGACCTGAGAGGGGCCTCTGGGGTGGCCCTGTGAGTGACTCTGGGTCCCTGCAGAGGATCAAGGAAGGCAGCATCATCAACCGGATCGAGGCAGTGTGCGTGGGCGACAGCATTGAGGCCATCAACGACCACTCAATCGTTGGCTGCCGCCACTACGAGGTGGCCAAGATGCTCCGGGAGCTGCCCAAGTCGCAGCCTTTCACCCTGCGCCTGGTTCAGCCCAAGAGAGCCTTCGGTGAGGGCCACCTGGGGCCCAGGGGGCAGGCTGGTGGGGGGGTCGGGGAAGCTCTTCCAGAAATTGGTCCTCTGGATGCACTGGGGGGCAAAGGGTGGGGGGATGGGACAGGATGGAAGGTTCTAGATGCCTCTGGTGACAAGGACAGGGAGCTTCTGGCACTGTATGAGGAACGGGATTTCTAGATTGTTATAGAGTTGGTCTGGGCATGGGGGTCGGGGGAGGCTTGGGAAGATTGGGAAAGGATGAGGAGGTATCTGGATCTATTTTGTAGCTGGTCTGGGAGCTTTTAAAGTACTGCTATGAGGCTCTGGTGAGTTCTTGAGAGTGACTCTCAAAGGGAGCTCTAGAATGGAGCTTTTCAAAGAGAAGTTTGTGACTGGTCCATGGATGAGATAAGGAGGTCCCCATAGAAGGATTCTTAACCTCAGCACTATTCACATTTGGGGCTGGATGATTGTTGTGGGGCGGTCTTGGGCACTGTCAGGTTCGACCTAACAGGTGCCAGTGTCTCCCCTGAGTTGTAACAATCAAAAGCGTCTCTAGGTATTGTCAATGTCACGGGGCGGGGGGGCAAAATCACACTCCTCCCCCCCCCCCCCGCCCCCCGTGCCAGCTGGGTTGAGAACCTTGATCTAGAATGTAGATCACCTTGTTTAGTTCAGCAGACAATTGTTTTCCATAAGTAGACTTTCTCAAGGAAGGAAGCATGATGCTAATTTCCATTCTGGCACAGCCTTCTTATCTCATCATGGACTGGCCCTTTGAGTCACCCTGTCCCAGAACAAGAGGTTCTAAAAGTGCCCTGGCCCATCTGGAGGGAGGTCCCAGGAGAGTGTGACAGGATTGCGTCCTAGATCTGCCCTGGAGCAGGACAGTGAACTCTGAGAGCCGTGAGCAGGTTAGGAAGAGCCAATTCTAGAGCAAGGAGCGTTCTAGATTGATCCTCTGGGCACAAGGAGAATCTTAAGCAGTCTCTTCTAGAGAAAGTCATTTTGAGAGGAGGAGGGAAATTTGAGGGAAGAAAGGATTCTCAAGCATGGTCCCTGAGGATTCACCTTTGGACATAAGGACTTTGAAGCGTAGGAAGGTTCTAGAAAGGCTCAGCTGGTGGCTTCTGAGTGTTTAGGAAGATATGGATCTGCCCAGAACACATGCACCTCCTCCACTCTGTCCCCTCCAGATATGATTGGCCAGAGGAGCCGGAGCAGCAAATGCCCCACGGAGGCAAAAGTCAGCAGTGGGAGGGAGACCCTGCGGCTTCGGTCTGGGGGGGCCGCCACTGTGGAGGAAGTGGTGAGTGGAGGGGAGAAGGGTGGACATCAGGGTCTCTTGCACCTAGAGTTCTACCGCTGACTCAGCATGACCTTGGGTAAGACCCTCTCCTTTGCCCAGCCTCAGTTTCCCTACCTGCAAAATGGGCCCTTGTCAGTCAGGGCAGTAATGGTGGGACCAGAAGCATTGACTAATGTGTGGTCCCAGTCTGCTGTCACCTAAGGGGTGGGGGACTGGGGAGGGGGCTGGGCCGGAGCGATCCCAGGCTCCTGACCCTCTGCTTTGCTCCCTACGACCCCAGCCTAGTGAATTTGAGGAGGAGGCATCTCGGAGGGTGGATGACCTGCTGGAGAGCTACATGGGCATTCGGGACCCAGAGCTGGGTAAGGGGCCAGGGTAAGCCGGGTGGACCCTGGGGGGAGGACAGCCCATGGGGAGGAGGAAAGGGTCCCAGGGGAAGCTGGTGTCCCCCCAGGGAGCGCCCTCACCCACTTCCCCTCGGCTCGGCCTGCAGCGTCCACCATGGTGGAGACATCCAAGAAGACAGTGAGTGTCCAGGAGTTTGCACGCCATTTAGACTCCGTTTTGGGCGAATTCGCCTTCCCGGACGAGTTTGTGGTGGAGGTGTGGGCCGCCATCGGCGAGGCCAGGGAGGCCTGTGGCTAGTCTGCCCCGGGGCAGAGCGCAGCCCCAGCCCAGAGCCCAGCCCCCTGTCCCAGCCCTCCCGGCCAGTTCCCCAAGCCCAGCCCTGCTCTGGAGTCCAGAAGCCCAGATCTGAGACCCAGCCCTGCTCTAGAACCCAGCCCAGCTCAGAGACCAAGCCCAGATCTGAGACTGGTATCACCTCTAGAACCCACACCGGTTTTGAGACCGAGCCCAGGCCTGAGACTCGGCCATGCTCCAGAACCCAGCCCAGCCCAGAGACCAAGCTCCCCTCTAGAGCCAAGGCCAGCTCTGAAACCACGTTCACCACTAGAACCCATACCAGTTGTGAGACCAAGCGCAGCCCTGAGACCCAGCCCTGCTCTAGAACCCAGCCCAGCTCAGAGACCAAGCCCAGATCTGAGGAGACTGTTATCACCTCTAGAACCCACACCAGTTTTGAGACCGAGCCCAGGCCTGAGACTCGGCCGTGCTCTAGAACCCAGCTCAGCTCAGAGACCAAGCCCAGATCTGAGACCCAGCCCTCCCCTAGAACCCAGCCCAGCTCGGAGACCAAGCCCAGATCTGAGACCACGTTCACCGCTAGAACCCATACCAGTTTTGAGACCAAGCGCAGCCCTGAGACCCAGCCCTGCTCTGGAACCCAGGCCAGCTCAGAGACCAAGCCCAGATCTGAGACCCAGCCCTCCCCTAGAACCCAGCTCAGCTCGGAGACCAAGCTCCGCTCTAGAGCCAAGGCCAGCTCTGAGACCACGTTCACCGCTAGAACCCATACCAGTTTTGAGACCAAGCCCTGCTCTGGAACCCAGGCCAGCTCTGAGGCCCAGTTCATCGCTAGAACCCAAGCCAGTTCTGAGATGCAACCCAGCTCCAGAACCCAGCTCTCCTCTAGAACCCAGGACAGCTCGGAGGCTAACCTGAGCTCTGATATAAAGTCAAGTTTGGGAACCCAGACAAGTTTTAAGAGCCACCCCGGCTCTGAAATCAATCCTAGTTCTGAAAGCCAGGCCAGCTTTATGACCCAGCCCTGCCTTAAAACTCGACCCAACTCTGGAACGCAAGACAGCTCCATGACCCAGTTGTACCTGGACACCTGGTCTAGCTCAGAAACGCCAGTTAGTTCTGGAACCCAGGTGAGACCCAAGAAGCATCCCAGCTCCAGAAGCCACGTCGGCTCAGGATTCAAAGACAGTTCCGAAACCCAACCCTATTCTCATGCCCAGACCAGCTCAGGAACCCAGATGCATGCTGCAGAGCAGTCCAGGTCCAGACCCCACCCCCATACTAGGGCCCAGCCCAGCTCCAGCGATGAGTCCAGCTCAGAGACTGAGCCCAGCTCTATACCCCAGACTAGTGCAACGAGCAGGCCTGTCTCCAGAATTCAGGCAAGCTCTGGACCCCCATCCATCTCTGGGGCAAGGCCCGCCTCCAGAGCTCCACTTGATGCCAAGACCCGCCCGCACTGCAGAACACAGAGCAGCTCTAGAACGTCATCCAGCTCTGGGACCCAGACAGACTTCAAGGCTTGGCCAATTTCCAGAGTTCAGTCCAGCTCAGGCACCCCACCCAGCTCCAGAACTCAGCTCAGTTCTAGAGCACAGGCTGGCTCTGAAATCCCATCCAGCTCTAAAACACAGTCAATTGCTGAGACCTACTTGAGTTCCAGAATCCAGCTAAAGTCTGGCCCTGGGACCCAGACCAATGCCGCAACAGACTTAAGCTCCACAGCTCTGTCGAGCTCTGAGAGCAGGCCCAGCTCCAGGACCCAGCCCTGCCTGGGAACTCAAAACACCTCTGGGACCCAGCTCATCTCAGAAACCCTGCCAAGCTCTAGAAACCAACTCCAGACCACACCCCCAGGCAACTCTGGTATTGAGCCGGACTTTGGGAGACAGACCAGCTCTGGAACTCAGCTCATCTCTAGAGCCCAGCCCAGCTCTGGGACCCAGACCAGTTCAAGAATACAGCCCAGCTCTGGAACCCAACCCAGCTCCAGAACGCAGACCAGTTCTGGAACCCAGCTCATCTCTGAGACCCAGCCCAGTGCAATAATGCAGCCCCTCTCTGGAGTCCACCTCATTTCTGGAACCGAAACCAGCTCCAGAACGCAGACCAGTTCTGGAACCCAGCTCAACTCTGAGACCCAGCCCAGCTCTGGGACCCAGACCAGTGCAAGAATTCAGCCCAGCTCTGGAGCCCAGCTCAGCTCCAGAACCCAGTTCAGCTCTAGAACTCAGTTCAGATCTGAGACTCACCACAGCTCTGAAACCCAGACCAGTTCAAGAACCCAGCCCAGCTCTGGAATCCACCTTAGTTCCAGAACCGAATCTGCTTCTGAAACCCAATCCAGCTCCAGAAGCCAGACCAGCTCAAGAATACAGCTCAGTTCTAGAAATGAGCTCCGCCCACAGACCCCTGGCCTTGACCCCAGAACCCAGCCTGATCCCACTCCCCTAGCCCGACCTCAACACCCAGGCCCACCACTCAGAGCCCCACCTACAGGTCCTAGGAGGGTCTCTCACCCTCAGTCCCATGATCGGGTTCAAGGAGCCCAGGCCGATACTGGCCCAGGCCGAAGCCCATCCACTTCTGCCCTGTTCCCACGGCCGTGGTCCCCCTCTGTCCCGCAGAAACCAGCCCTTCCCCCCAAGCCCCAGCTGAGACCCCAGAAGTCCACCCCACCCATCAAATCTGTCATCCCTAGTTCTGCCACCAGGGCAGCCCTCCCGCATTCCCAGCCCCCTGAACCCTCAGCTCAGGGGCCTGCCCCCTCCCCCGAGCTCAGGGAGCCAGGGCCGGCTCTGCCGGTGTCAGAGCCCCTCCCCTACCATGGGGGGCTATAGCTTGGGGGTGACATACTTGTGGCCCCCATCCCCTCTCCTGCCCGTCCCAGCCTGGGTCCCCCAGAAGCAGCAGGTGACCTCATTCCCCCACAGGTGGGGTGGGGGGGGTGAGGGAGGGTGGACACAGGGGCTTTGGTTTCACCTGGGCCTGGCTCTGGGAGCTGTAAGCAGATCCCAGGTCTGTGGAGGGGAGGCGGGGTGGGGGTGGGGGAAGTTGGGGCAGGAGGCGGTTTCCCCCTCTTGTACCTCGAGGGCTCATGGGGAATAAAGGCACCTCCCACCCCTGCAGCCCTGTGTGTCGTTTTTGGGGGGTGTTTGGGGGAGAGCAGAGGAAGGGGCAGGCGTGAGGGTCTGGGGGGCTGACATGACAGCACTAGATGCTTCTTACATGGCTACGATGTGCCAGGCACATTGTTAAGTGCTAAGTGTGCAGGTGCTCATGGACCTGCAGACACACGGTGCTCTAGACAAACTCAGTCGTTTGGCCATTCTGTCTGCCTTCACTAAGCACCTACTATGGGCCAGGAGCTGCTTGTTCAAGGCATGGGGAGTCTGAAGGGCTGAGTGAATAGATGGCTAAACCACAAGCTTATGAGGGAGTGTATCCCATCTGCCGTGGAGGAAGCAGGCATGTACGCCATGGTCCCTGTGTGTCTTGCCCTCTCTTTTCCTCACCTGCAAAATGGGTTTAATCCCAGAACCCTCTCTTAGGGGCTGTAGGGAGGCTTCCAGGAGATCCAAGCTGTAAAGTGCTTAGGGAAGACTCAATAAAGGAAGTGGGGAGAGGAGCTGGAAGCCAGCCCAACCTCTTGGGGCTTCCATAGCCCCCCAGTCCTGCTCGGCTGCCACACGGTTGGATAGGAATATTGATACAACAAACTTCAATAATTGACTATTTCAGAGCCAAAAGAGATTATATTTTGGCAAGAGAGGGAGTCTCTTGCCCGTTCTCAGTCAACCTTTTCTAGACAGAGCCTTCTCAAATTGGGCTGTCAAAGGGAATCAACTGTACCCCAGTAAGTAGGTCATATTCAGGGGTCAGAGGGGGTCAGAGTCCCCCATGTCTGGAGGATTTCTGCAAGGGGAGGCTTACAAGTCTGCTTTCCTCCAGACACCATCCCAGCATTGCCCACACCCTTCCTGGGATTGGGAGGGGCCTCTGAGTGGGGAGGGGGCGGAGAGAGGGGAGGGGCTTTGGAAAGGGGAGTCAGGGAAGAGTTGGAGGGTCCCCAGGGATGATGGAAGACAGCACACAATCCTGCCGCTCAAACTGTCCATCCTGCACTCTTGGCTCCTGGACTTCCGAACAGGCAGATGCAACTGACAGGGAGGACAAAGGTTAGATTGGGGACATGCTGGCAGGGTACTCTGTCCTTCCAGAGCTGCCCCCGACGTCCAGCCCTGGCCCTACTGCATCGTGGACCTGCGGGTGAGCTGGGGTTGCAGGGAGAGCGACCTGGGCCGGGTACTGAGGCGAGGGTGGAGGCGACGGATCACTGCCCGGCGAAACAGGATGTACACCCAGGGGTCGAGGATCTGGTTCCAGGTGGCCACACGCAGGTAGATAAGCAGCTGCTGCTCGGTGGCTCGGGACAGCTGCCCAGTCGGGCTCATGGCAGGCGGGCTCCGCAGCACCGTCTGGGCGATAAAGACCTGCGGGAGGAGGGGTGTGTGTGCGTGTGGCCAGAGCGGTCAGCCGGGGGCCAGGCCAGCCACCAGCCCTGCCCTCCACCAGTACCTGCCCGGGCCACCTGCCATCCACCGAGATCCCGTGTCGATTTTGTCCCCGAGGTGCTGTGTGACCTCAGGAGAGCTGCCTGACCTCTCTGAGCTTCAGCTGATGTGGCCGAAAAATAGCACACTTTTCCTGCTCCTCTCCTGGGCACAAGTAAACGTGGTGGACAAGAGGACTTGCAGGTGTGAGCAGGTGGAATCACTGTGACTGCCAGTTTTATTATTTTATCAAACATTTATATTTTATACAAATTTTATAATATAATATCAAATTATGGTATAAAATTGTATATTAAATAATTAAATTTTATGTTGTTTAAGTGTTTATATTATATTAAAATTTATAGTTTATAAAATTTTATGTTAAATAATTTTTATGTTAAATTCTTATATTAAATCACTTTAATATATTTTATTAAATATTGGATTTTATATTTAATATTATACAATATATAATGTAATAAGGTATTTACAGATTATCATAGCATATAATTAGTTACCTAATAATTAATATATTGTTAATTATAACTATTATATATAGTTATGTTATATATATTATATAGTATTTAAAGTTATATATGTAATTATATAATATATAACAATTATAAGGATGTGACTACATATTATATAATGATTGATATAATTATTAAGTATTAATTAATAATATGTAATTATAGCTATATGTTATATAGTATTTAACAATTATATAATACATATTATATAATGATTGATATATTATTAAGTATGAATGAATAATATATAACTATAGTTATATGTTATATAGTATTTAACAGTTATATAATATATAACTATATATTATATAATGATTGATATAATTGTTAAATATTAAGTAATAATATGTAATTATAGCTATATGTTATACAGTATTTTACAATTATATAATGATTGATATAATTATTAATTCTAATCTAATCTAATTAATTATAATTATTATATTTCATAATTATAATCAAATTTATACTATATTTAATATAATTATATTCATATTGTATTGCATGTATTATATTAAAATAAATTTTTTCTTTTTTTTTTTGGCTGCACCATACAGCTTGCGGGATCTTAGTTCCCTGACCAGGGATTGAACCTGTGCCCTCAGCACTGTAAGTGCAGAGTCCTAACCACTGGACCGCTAGGAAATCCCCCCCAAAATTATTATTTTAAAATTGTTTCCTGAGCACCTAGAGTGTGCTGGGCAATTCTGGGGACACTGCAGTGGCCAAGACAGACCCAGGTCCCACTTGCACAGGTTCACAGTCTCACAGCCCCATTAGGACATGTGACCAGGTGGTTGCAGCTTGGCGGTGGGAGTGGGGGTGGTGACCTAGCAGTGATGGAGGCACTGTTGGAGCCCAGAGTAGGAGCCTGACCGGGCTTGGGAGAGGTAACCAGATGGCGAATAGGAGTTTCCCAGGTGAGTTTGAAGGAAGTGTCTGTGGGTCTTTCTTCTGGGACAATAGGGAGCTATGGGAAGTTTTAGAGCAGGAGTTGGCTCATGAGCCAAATCTGGCCTGCCACCTGTTTTTGTTTTGCTTTGTTTGCTTTATTTTTGCCTTTTTGGTTTGTTTTGTTGTTTTTTTGTTTCTTTGTTTGTTTTTGGCTGTACGCAGGCCTCTCACTGCTGTGGCCTCTCCCGTTGTGGGGCGCAGGCTCCGGACGCACAGGCTCAGCGGCCATGGCTCACGGGCCCAGCCGCTCCACGGCATGTGGGATCTTCCCGGACCGGGGCACGAACCCGCGTCCCCTGCATCGGCAGGTGGACTCTCAACCACTGCACCACCAGGGAAGCCCCTGTTTTGTTGTTTCACTAAGAATGTTTTTACATGTGTCAATGGTGAGAGAAAAAAATTAGCATATTTGGGGGTTTTTTTAATTTAAAAAATTTTTTACTTTTATTTTTTATTTTTTGGCCATGTCACACAGCATGCTCAACTAGGGATCGAACCCACACCCCCTGCAGTGGAAGCATGGAGTCTTAACCACTGGGCCACCAGGGTAGTGGCCTAGAAAGCATATTTTGTGACGTGACAATGACATGAAATTCAAATTTCAGAGTCCGTAAATGACGTCCTATTGGTGCACAGCCACGCCCATTTGTTTCCATGTAGCTTTCATGCCACAGCAGCAGAGCTGCGTCGTTGTCACAGAGACTGTGTTTAAAGGGTTTACTATATGGCCTTTTAGGAAAAACTTTGCTGCCAAAGGGGACCAGGAATCGTTTAATGATTCAATGATTCTACCTAGGATGCCTTCCTGGTTTTTACCTAACAGTTCAACTTCTATTTATCCTGCAAAGCCTCAGTTCCAATGGTTCAGAGCAGGGCAGGGCTCATCCTGGGTATTTCAAGAGAGTCAAGGCTGGAGGGCAGGGAGAAAGAAGAGGCTGAGACAGATCCTCGTTAGGGACCTCTTGGTGAAGGTGACATTTGAGGGAAGACGTGGAGGAGTGAGGGAGTGATCCTTGTGGAGATCTGGGCTGGGGGGAAGCACTCCAGGCAGAGGGTACAGCCCAGTGCAAAGGTCCTGGGGCAGGACCGGGACTGGCATGTTGGAGGAACAGCCAGGAGGTCCATGTGTCTGGAGCAGAGTGAGCGAGGGGGAGAGAGGGAGGAGGGGAGGGCAGGGAGGGGACGGGGCAGGTAGTGCAGGGCCTTTTGGGTGGCAGGGAGGACTTGGATTTTTACCCTGAGGGAGGTGGGAGACCTGGAGGGCTGTGGGCAGAGGGGGGACCTGACTCAGGTGCTCACAGGCGCCGTCTAGATGCTGCTCAATAAATAATAATGATAATAATTACAAGTGAATATAGAAATGGCCTCAGCTCGACACAGATGTAGAGAATAAACGTATGGACACCAAGGGGGTAAAGTGGCGGGGTGGGGCGGTGGTGGTGGGATGAACTGGGAGATTGGGATTGACATATATACACTAATATGTATAAAATAGATAACTAATAAGAACCTGCTGTATAAGATAAATAAAATAAAATACAAAAGAAAAAAAAAAAGAAAAGAAATGGCCTCAGCTCTATTTGACCAGGCCTGGGAGGGACACCCCAAGTACAGAACAGAAGCACATTTCTCAGCCGGAAGCATCATCCTGTAACTGCCACTCCCCTGGGACCCATCAGTGCCTGCAGCTTCACGTATCACAAAAAGAATTATGTTCCTTTCCTTTTTTCTCCCACCATTGACACACGTAAAAACATTCTTAGCAAAACAAAGCAAACCAAATTTGCAATCTTCCTATCCCACAGGTTTAGCTTTTGTTTTAGCCCTTATCACTTCCTAATATCTACCACTTCACTTATTTATATACTATGTTTATTTTCTGTCTTCCCCACAACCTAAGAGCTCCAGAAAGTCAGGCAGTTTTGTCAGTTTTGTTCCCTGTGCAGTGCCTAGACCAGAGCCAGCAACACACTCATCCAATGAACAAATGAGTTCATGTCATCATCCTGACAGTCACTCTGAGAGGCTGGCACCTTTTTAGTCATCCCCATAATAGGAGGAGATTGAGGCTGGAGACTGACCCGTAGCCAGAGTCACATGATAAGTCCTTGTTGGATGTGGGCTGGAAACCAAGTATCTGATTCCAGTCTCCAGACTTGTTGCCATCCAGTCAGAAATGGAAAAATAACCACTCCAAGCGGCCAATTACATCAATCAGTGGAAGGACTTCAGCAAGCTCCCCTGACTCAGCCCAGAACTAGGCACAAAGTAGAAATGGTTCAGTAATTGTACCTGGAATGTCCTCCCTGCTTTTCTCTGGCAGGTAAACTCCTCTTCATCCTTCAAAACCCCAGCTCCAATGCCCCTCTTCCAGAAAGCCTTCCCTGATATCCCAGGGAGAGCCTGGGAGCCCTTCCTTGGGCATCTCAGTCACAGGACACTGCCTCTGCCGCAGTCCTGCCCCCAGTTTGGGATTATCTGTGTCTTGCTCATGGGTTCCTCAAGGAAGGACCCTTGAACACTGGAGTCATGCCCACATTTTCTTGGGCGGACGAGAACCTGAGGGTTATGAATTCATTCGGGAGGAACCGACACCCAGTCACCAAGGGTCGGTGGGAGACCCCGGCAGCCCCTGCCCCCTCCACTCACCAGCAGCGGCATCCAGCAGATGCTGGCCACCACCATGATGCCCGTGAGCTGAGCCATCATCTCGACCTCGCAGTCCCGTGGGCGCTGCTGGGCGGCCTCCTGCCCGTGGTAGACGTGGCACAGGGTGGCCACGCTGATCGTGTTGAGCAGGAAGGACAGCCCTACTGAGAGGCTGCCAAGGAGGGTGAAGAGCAAACCGAAGGCCACGTCCCCTGGCTCAGCACCAAGCGTGAGGAAGCACCAGGAGCCCGGGTACTGCACGGTGTAGCGACCCACACCCAGCAGGGGCAGCAGGCCCAGTGCCAGCGCGGCGGCCCATACCAGCCCCACCGTGGTCCAGGCCCGGCGCTGCGAGGCGGCTGTGGGCCGTGAGAAGGGCCGGGTGATGCCCAGGTAGCGCTCCGAGGCCATGGCGGCCCCAAGCAGCAGCGGGCACAGGCCAAAAAAGACCATGATGACGCCCATGAAGTGGCAGAGGCTACAACCGGGGTCCACGGCCTGCCAGTCAAAGAGGGCGGCGTGCTGGGACACCACGATGGTGCCAGTGACCAGCAGCCCCATGAAGTCAGTGATGACCAGGCCGCAGAGGAAGGTCAGGAAGGAGGATCGCGCATGGGAGCTGCCCTGCCGCGCACTCACCAGCACGCTCAACGCCAGCAGGTTGGAGGCCAGGCCCACCAGGCAGAAGGAGGCCGCGAACCAGGGGGAGGCGATCAGGCGCCGCTCCTCCAGCGTGATGTTTGTTGGCCGCAAACAGGGCCCCAGAGAACTGCCATTGGGCCACATGGCGCCAGAGCGGAGTGGGGAGGGTCACCACCCCATCAGGCCAAGGCTGCAGGTGGGGTGGACTGGCACTGGCTCAGGCACACCTGGGAGGGTGGTGGCGGAAGAGAAGATTTGCTGGTGATTCATTCTGCATTTTAGTCTGAGCAGCCCTGGTGAACTCCTACACAACCTTCAATGCCCCAGCTCAAATATCCCCTCCTATAGGAAGCCTTTCCTGACCTATCTCACTCCCTACTCAGTAAGTATTACTATTACTACTGTGACTAGCTCCAGCCCTGTCCTGCCCAGGCTCAGTGACCCTCAAGGGTGAGGATCAGTTCTGTCTCCTCTGGGAACCCTGAAAGACGCCAGTTAGTATTTGCCAGGTCTCAGAGAAGGGCTGAGAAGCCCCAGTTTGAACTCCAGCCCTGGTACCCACTGTGTGACCCCAGGCAAATGATTTCTTCTCTCTAAACTTCCATTTCCCTGCTGGTCATCCATCTGAGCCCTTGGTGGACTGCAGAATCCAGAACAGATTTCAGCTATTGTAAAACAGGACACACCCAGTGTGGGGAGGGCAGCTGGCTGGTGGCCAGAGGTCGCTGGTTCTCGAGCGGGCTCCAAGGTCAGCCTTGTGGGTCACAATTTCTCGTGAAATTGTGGGAGAAACCCGGCCCCATTGGTGTTTTAGGGAGAGCCTTCCTCACATGTTGGAATCGTGTAGATTCTTCTTTTCCCCCGTTTTTGTTTAATAAGAAATAAACCCAGAAATCCAGTTCCATCTGGGAGCAAAACTCAGGTCATTTGGAGCAACAGGATCCCTAGGGACGGGCTATAAACAATAGGAGGAGGGTAATGGGCTATAAACTACCCTGTGTGGGGCTGGGGGAGAAAATTGGAGAGACCTATGGGTCTGACTGCCTCGGGTGTGGACGAATCAGCCAGATATGGGGACGTCGAGTAGAAATAAAATGAGACCATTCAAAAGCCAGCTTCCAGGGGCTTCCCGGGTAGTCCAGTGGGTAAGACTCCGCGCTCCCAATGCAGGGGTCCTGGGTTCAATCCCTGGTCGGGGAACTAGATCCCACATGCATGACGCAACTAAAGAGTTACATGCCGCAACTAAGAGTCCACATGCCACAACTAAGAAGTCTGCATGCTGCAACTAAGAAGTCCGCATGCCGCAACTATTCCCCAAAAGGACACAGCAGGGAGGGCGTAAGGTCACCCAGGGGGCCGGCACCCCACCCTGGGCGCACACCACGAGCCATCCTTGTGCTGGCAGGGAGGGGGCACTGGGCGGCAGGATCAGAGTGGGCAAAGGTGGGGAGGCAGGACCATGGGAGGCACAGATGGCCCAGGCAGTTAAAGCTCAGAGAGGTCCTCTTATGATCCCCATTTTGCAAAGGCAGGGAACCTGAGGCACAGAGAGATTAAATAACTAATCCAAAGTCACACAGCCTAGCCAGGATGGATCTGAGATTTAAACTCGGGCCTCATTACATACAAATGTGTGTAATTGAGTCAAAGGCCTGCAAGTCAGGTGGAGGCTGGTGGGAGGTGGGTGTGGAGGGTCACCATCATTGGAATTTTCCTTGATGAAAAACAGATAGAATTTTTCTAGGGAATTCCCTGGCGGTCCAGTGGTTAAGACTCCGAGCTTTCACTGCCGAGGGCATGGGTTCAGTCCCTGGTCAGGGAACTAAGATCCTGCAAGCTGTGCAGCTCAGCCAAACAAGACAAACAAAAAACACACCAACCAAACAAACAAAAAAAAGGGATAGAATTTTTCTAAAAAGTTGGTCAGACTGGATTCGGATCCTGACTTTGCCACGAACTCTGAGGGGAGTCAAGTCCCCGCTCTGAGTCTCAGTCTCCCTTCCTATAAAATGGGGCGGATGATGAGAATGATTTCGTTTGTGCCCAGGGCTAAGCCCACATAGGCGCTCCATTCGTGCTGGCCCTGAGCCCATGCCTGTGACCTGGCCTCAGCAGTGAGCGTGCTCCGCTACCCCCTCACTCCCCATCTCATTAATTCAGCTCAGCAACTCCTTATTGAGCCTCATAAATTATCCAGCTCCTGATGGCCAGCTCTACAGAGCTTCCCTCCCAGGCTGAGAGCCAAGGCCACTGCCACTTCGACGGGGGCGGGGCCTGGAGACGGAAACCTGAACACCAGAGGGGTGGGGGCTTTCCACGGTGCTCGGCCATCTGAGCCCTCCACTCCCCGGCAGGGGTGTGCTCTTTGCCTTCTCAGATTTGGCCTGCACTTGGATTCCCCCTGGGGCGGGGCGCTTGCTTCCTCCCTCCCTTGAGAGCTGGCAATATGCTGTTTCTAAACATTCCTGGGGACTCAGGGCTGTGCCTGCGGTCACTGCCCCTGCCTCAGCCCTGAGTGACCGCCAGCTCCTCCCAGGTCTCATGGTCCCCTGGTTCCCCACCCTTGCACAGGAGCTTATGCACCCGGGGACACACACCCTGTGTCTGCCTCGTATCCCATGTCTGGGAACAAGCCTGTGGCCCAGGGCCTTTGGCCTGGGGGAGGCTGGAAACTGGCACCACTCCCTCTGGCCCCAGCCGGCGGTTTCCAGTCCCCCCGAGGGGTTCAGGTGAGAGCGGCCAGCTCAAGTTCCCCAGGCAAGCAGGCCAGAGGGGCACCTGACGAGGCCTCCCTTCCCCTCCCACATTGGCCGGGAGGGCTGGCAGGGCCCCCCCCCCCCCCCCTGGGGGAGGCTGGAAACTGGCACCACTCCCTCTGGCCCCAGCCGGCGGTTTCCAGTCCCCCCGAGGGGTTCAGGTGAGAGCGGCCAGCTCAAGTTCCCCAGGCAAGCAGGCCAGAGGGGCACCTGACGAGGCCTCCCTTCCCCTCCCACATTGGCCGGGAGGGCTGGCAGGGCCCCCCCCCCCTGCAGGGGACTGTGCTCTTCCCAGCCCGAGGGCCATAAGCACCACGGTGTGGCCCTTGGGGGAACTGCTCTCCCTCTCTGTGCCTCAAGAGAAACATGGACCCCAGATTTGCTGGACAAACCCAGGATTCCATGGCCCGAGAGTGGGGAGGTTTGGACTTTGAAGGTTCTGGAAGCTGAAGGCCCCAAGAATCTAGAATTTCAAGGGGCTGAGGTTCCAGAACTTTGATGGGAATTTGGTTGGGTCCTGGGTTCCAGAAATCTCTCTCTCGGGTCCTGGCTCCTCTCTGGAAGATGGACTTTCAGTGCTCCCTCAGCCTCCCTCGGTGAGGCTGGGAGGGATCCATCCACCGCTGTCCCAGAGGCCTGTGCGCTGGGTTGGGCTCGGGCACCAGGCTGGTCCTCCCTCCGCCCACCGTGGTGGCCCCGATGGAATGTGGTCTTTGGTTCCCAAGGGCCAGGCCCCTCCTCTGCCTGATGGTCCGTCATCACCTCTGCCCCATTCTTCTCCTCCCGCTCCTGTGATCCAACCATCTTTCAACAAGTCCCCCTTTCTCTTGACACGCCACCACCTGGCCTGCCCGGCCTGCCTGTCCTCACGCCATGGACCCACCCAGCCTCCCCCAAGGGTGACGGTGACCTCAGACAAACTCGGACTGGAGCCCGCAATCTGCCACTGCCCAGCTGGGGGCTCGACCTTGCTGAGTCTCAGTTTCCCCCTCTGTGAAATGGGGATAACAAGGACACCGACTCGCCTGCTGGCATTCTGGCTGGTCTTCCCAGGCCTGACCTGCTCCTGCCACCCAGACTTTGCCTCTGCTGTGCCCCACCATCCCCACCCCGCCTGGTGCACCCTTCCTGCTTCCTGGCTGTGCTCACAGCTCATCTCCTGGCTGCATGCATGGGGCAGCCAGGTGGGAGCCCTGATGCTCTGTGTGACCTTGGCCCACTTCCACGTTTCCTAAGTCCTTTAATGCTGCCCAGGTGACCAACGACGATGTCCTCTGGCATGAAAGTGCAGGGACCAGGCCAATCTCTGCATCAGTTCCTGCCCTTACCCGATGCAGACCTGCACGCCTGAGGGTGTGGACCCCCTCCACGCCCTTGTGCAGCCACGGACGCCCACACAGACACAAACGCATACATGCAGGGCCACTGCCAGTCCCCAGGCCCACCCCTGCCTTCCCCTACCACAAGACTCAATTTCTGGGAACTTTTCCTGTTCGTGACAGCAGCCAGGCCCCCACCCCAGAGGCATCACAGTCAGCCTGCCAGGGTTGGAGCTGAGCCTTGGCCCGGACTCACACGGTCCCTCCCTGTGAGCCTCAGTTTCCTAATCTGTCCAGTGGGTGTCCCCAAGCACCAGCTGGGGACGGATGGGTGATGAAGGGACAGGACCCAAGCCAGGCGGCCAGTGGTTAATGATGGGCACAACTCCGAGTGTGCACACAGACACACAACCAATCAGACGTGTGCTCACACTCACAGCCACAGCCAGCACCCTGGCTCCCTCCCCAGCTGTAGTGGCACCACAGGACACGGAATGGCCGGGCACAGACCCAGGGAAACCCACACACAAAGCACATCCTCCGCCACACTGGCCACAGAGGCACACGCAGGTGCCCAGGGCCGGTAGCACTCCAGGCACGGGACCCAAGCTCACCAATGCCCCGGAACACCCGGCACCTGGCAACTGTCACCGCCCACGGTGAAACACCCACAGCAGGGCGGGTCATCGCAGGATACACCCAAGGCACACCTGCCCACTCTCATGCCCCGCCCCTAACCTGATGGCCAGTTGTCCTCAGCAGGCGATGGTCGATGGGGCGTGCAGGGGTAGCCAGCCGCGCAGTCGTGTCCCGGCGGACCTGCGGGTGCCGGGCTGGAGGGGGGGCGTGCGGAAGCGGAAGCAGGGCGGCTTCCGGGGCCCCTGAGGAAACTGAGTCACAGCGGGAGAACCACGCCGAGGACCCCGGCACTGCCACGTCGCGGCGGGACACAGATAGAGGGTGGGGCGGGGCGGGGTCCCGGGCCGCGGGAGGGGCGGCGAGGTCACCTCCCGGCCTGGAGGGGGTTCGGCGGGGACTAAAAATAGCCCGGGGCTGGGGCTCCGTTCTGCGGCCGGCGCCCGTCTCTGCTAGTGTCTGGCTCAATCTCTCTGTCTTTCGGTCTGTCTCCCATCAGCCCCTCCAGTCCCGCG